GTTCACCCTCTTGATTAGTCTGGGCCACAAAGGTGGTAGATCTGTCTCTTTATTTCCAAGGCCTGGGATGTAATGTTCTTGATGGTAAAGCTGGCTGATGCTTTTCTGATACAAGGATTCAACCTCTTTGTTTTGCATGAGGAATAGGAGAACACAAGTGTATTTATACGCTTTTATCTAAATGCACCCCCACGCACACACATACATTAGCAAGAGCTATCTGGATAAACACAAACCTGTGTCATGTCTCTCTGTGAATTACCCTAATTTTCCCACAGTCCCTTCACAATTGCTATGATTCTTGTTCTTGTCCTTTTGCTCTGCAGAGGGTCAAACATCCTGCATCTCATTGTCCCTTCTGTCTCTTTAATTAGTGACTGTCCTCCCCCTTCTCCCTCTCACTCCCGTGTCCCCCTTCCCATCTCCTCTTGGCACTTGGTTTGCAATGCTCTATTATTTCACCTTTCGCGCGTGCCGTCTCCTTCGCCCAGGCCTGTCTGACACCTCTGCCTTACGCTTATCATAAAAACATAACATTTAAATACAAATAGAACAGGGAATAATTTAACCCCTATTTGCACTGGGGAAGGTGTTGAGACTTTGTATAAATACAGCTAGGGAGATTTATAGACACATTATATTTCTCTGACAAGTTACATTTCTTCACCACTGTATCTTGCAGCCTGTTTTTCCCAACTCGAGCAAGCTTCAAAAGAAAGAGAGAAACCTCATTTTGTGGGAGCACTGGAAGTGTTATCAAGGGGTCACACCTGAAATTCCATGATTACTGAAGCCTTTCTCTATCTCTCTTCCTGTGAGGATCAGGGAATGCTGGCTCCGTTGGTCAGTGTGCTTTACAGATAACAAAAGGGGGTCAACTTAAGATGAACTTAATTTCTGACATCATAGAAGTGTCTCAGGCCACTCGTTGTTAGGGTCTTGAGGCAAATCAGCAAAAATTTTGGCCTTTCAGAGAACCATAGCACAAAGAAGTAACCATCCGTGTTTATTTCCATGGGTCAACCAGACATGATGGGTTCAGGTTATGGGGAAAGGCCAATAATGGGGTTAACAATAGTGAAATAAAAATGTGGGGAGACGAGGCTTACATGGACATCCCACTGAACATTTGCACTGCAGGGCAGAGTGACTGCTCAGACTGCTTTCATCTGCCCCTCCTATGAGGCCAGTGAGATTTCTTCACTAACTTGAAAAATTTAGGGCCCTGATATTACATATGTTTGGTATGTTTCTTGCTGAAAAAGGGAGAAGTCTGGGATTCATTGGTGTTATAAGAGTGGGCCTGCATCCTACAGAGCTTGGAGGCAGCTTGATTAGGTAACTGCTTCAGGCTTCTCTACAGCATAAACCTCTGTTTTCTGTAGTACGTAAACTGGTCTGAATATGGTCTGAGCACAGTCTGAGCAAGGACACTGGAAAAGTTTGGTGGGGAGCATCTGCAGCGTGCACATGCGCTCAGACAAGTCCTGCTGACTCCTGCCCATCCTCACCTCATTTCACACCAGCAGCCTCATGACCCTACTCAGACACATTTACAAAGCAGAAGTAGTTGCCACAGTGCACAGCATGTTGGCTTTTTGTCTGGGCCTTGGCAGAGCAGCACATGGGGGCACTCGGGGTGTGAGAGGTTCACACAAGCCCATTAGCGGATAAATTCATTAGCCAAGATCAGGAATGTGCTGAATGGTCCCAGCTGCTGCCCCTTTCTCCCTCTCTTCCCACTTGAGATGTTCAAGGGACATTGTTAAAATGCACTGCTGAGCTGGGATCTGAAAGGTAAATGCAGCACTTTGTTAAAAGAGCATCACCACACACACACACACAAAAAAAAAAAGAAAAAAAAAAGAAAAAAAAAAGGAAGTTAAACTGACTCATTTTTTATCAGCCGAATGTGTGATTGTGTAGATTTCTGACACGGCAGATGTGACAGATGATTCCCCTGACAAACCAAGGTACAGTTTTTCAGGAGGGAGAGAGGGTGATGATTTGAAGACTGCGTTGAGGGTGATGCTCAGATGGCGCTGAGCGCTGGCTGGCCTTGAGGGATCCCTTTAGGTCACCTCCTCTGGAGCAGCTGGACCAACAGTGCCTGGGGAAGGTAGTCTTCACCCTCAGCAAAGCCTTCTAATGGTGGTCTGATGGCCACTTGTGTGCAGCTCCCAAAAGCACCACATCTTCTGCCAGCTGGCTGTGGGGGCAGGCATCACTCCTCTCAGTGTCCAGCAGAGATATGGAGAGTAGGGTTAAAATAAAACAAAATAAAACATAAAATTAAATGTTTCCTAACACACCTGGTTTAAGCTTTGCATAAACTAAGCCAGACAAGGCAGTTTCAGGCCAGTTGTACACTAGAGAGTTCTGCTGACCGAGGAAGGATGTGATTTTTTTTAATGATACATTTATATTAGCAAAAGAGCCTGGTGAAAATACAGTTACACAGCTATAGGAGAGCTTTTGCTGATGCAGCTTATTTCAAAACAGGGGAAGCTGTGTAAAGTACAGTATAGCAGACACTTCCTCTGAGATGGAAGTATTTACTAGACACAGACTTCTTAGGCAAAGCCTTTTGCCGTAGAGTTCCCAGTTTTCTCCCGAAACTTTCCTCCCTCCCTCAAGTGTCTCCCATTTCCAGGACAGCTGTTTTCACTTTGCAGGTGGGCTTTCCCCAGTCATCTGGACAATCTTTGGAGCCAGGCTTTTTCCTGGGCATTGTCCTTACCCAGTCTACAGGCAGCCCCAGAGCACACATTCAGCTTTAGTTATTGCCTTTCTAAGGTGTTATAACCTCTCTTTTGCACATCAGTTTAATCACCTAGCAAAGTGGTTTCTACTGGGACCTGCAAGGTATTAAATAAAAACAGTAGTTAGGTCAAGTAGGGGAGATGTATCTAAAGCAAAATTCACGCCTGTCTCTTCACCGCTTGGTTACTTGACTGAGAAATGTCGTTGGTCCATCACAGGCCCAGGGAAGACAAAGTGGTTGTTCAGGCCCACAAGAACCGTGACTTATAGGGATCTTCGAACTTTTTAGTTCATTCTTTGACATTACTGGATTGAAATTACTCAAATCGTTTCCAAAAATTCTGAGGAAAAAAAATATCTGACAAGTATGCTTTTGGGGAAAAAAAACTTGTGATTTTACAAGTTCCCCGGATGCAATTCCTGTGGTTCACAATCCATTCATTGAGCCTAATCACCAATACCATTTTCCCTCCTGGATGTATCCATCCAGAAAATGAACCTTTTGGTTGTCCAAAGCATCTTCTTTTGAGGTGAGTATAGACTACACAGCACTGATAAGCATCATTAAGGCCTCAACTTCATGCTGCCAGCAGACACTGAGCTCCCTGTAGCTAATCAAATCCAACATAAATCGTATTTCTTGTTTTTAACATGTCTATTGAAAGGGTAGCCCTATTTTTTATCTTTCATCAGTAACACACACATATCCTCCTTAACCTATTTTTCCTATCACTTCTGTAGCCTTACTGAAAGCAACGTATCTCCTCGTTTTCTGGGGTAGCACACTTTTGGTTCACATGGATAACTCCACTGCAGGACTGAAAACTCCTAATATCCTCAGTAGATATCAACTGCATGAAAAATTATCCTCGCCCAAGGCTGTAGAGTAATTTGCCAATTTGCAGGTGTATCTTGGAGAGGAGAATTTTGACCAAACACTGGTTGAAGCAGAACAGATTGCCTACACCAATGACTTCTTGGTGAACAAAAGTGACATAAATCACTCAATTACTCAGCCAGCAAAGAGTTGTTGCAAACCAATGTTTTGTTCAGCCTTAGGTTAATATATGCATTTAAAAATAAATAAACAAATAAACCAATGCATTTATTTATTTATTTATTTATTTATTTACATATATTTATTCAAATTGGTTACATCTGCTCTGTAAAGTGTTCTGGGAAAAAAAAAAAAAAACAACCTTGAATCACTCATTTACATACCGTTTAATGAATGATAAATGAGATGCTCATGAATCAGTTGCAAAGGGCCTGTTTACATACATGGCATAAAATACCTACATTTCTTTTTTTGTTGTTCCTTACGTGGTGTAATGGTAGTGATCTCTGAATACAAACCTGACTCAGATGCATCACCCAGTGATCTCTGAGATCTTTCTACCAACTCAGTACTCAGTGTTCTGGTTTGTTTCCACAGGCATTTTCTCAATGTGTTATGTTGTGGACTGCAGCTCTCCATTCTTGATATAAGTCCAAGTATAAATAGTCTTCATTCAAGACACAGTATCTGCCAGTAGACCACATCCTGCTTTGACATGAAATAGCACCTTTCTTAAGCTACCTCAGATATTAGCATTCATATAAGTTAACTTCATGTTTCAAGAAAAATTATATGTTTCAAAAAACTTTGGGCTTATTTTAAGTGAACTTAAAAAATAATCCAAACTCAAAGGTATATGCCTTTGAGTGGATATGGATGACAAATCTCGATTTACAGACCGTGGCTTTTGATATATCCTTATTTAAAACAGCTTATGTTAAACTTTTTTTTTTTTTTTCCTGCAATGTATTTAGTATTGTGAAGGCTACTAACTTATGCTATTTTTCAATTGGACTTTATTTCTGTATGCTATCTTTATCCACGTTTCTCTTGGATGGCAGTCTGAGCAATGTTGTCATTTCACTTACTGCAAAAAATTGATCAGAAAAAGCTAATTTGGAAGGCTTTGGTGCCTAGGTTTCAAGAAGCAGTTAAAACATTTTAGATGTTTCTGGGTTTGGGAGATTTTTTTTTTCATTGAAATTGTCAAATTATTTTCAAGTATTCACTGAGAGTCAGATGTTATTAAGGTGTTTCGAGCCAAGCACCTGAAATGACTTACAGCTTCTGAAATATGTCACCTCAATGAATTCACTGTTTCTTTTGCATTTGATACTGAGCTATCTTGGCTTTCAAATCCCTTCTGAAATATGGTAAGCATCTCTTTATTTTGTTCCAGAAGACAGAAAACTCTTTGTGGGCATGCTTAATAAGCAGCAGTCAGAAGATGATGTGCGCAGGCTATTCGAGGCATTTGGCAACATTGAGGAGTGCACAATCCTTCGGGGACCCGATGGAAACAGCAAAGGTAAGATGATGGCTCGTGGCACACTGTGTTCTTAGCTTCAAGATAGACTAGGTCTTAGTGTATATATAATACTCTGGCACAACAAAGTTACTAGACGGCTGCAAGGACAACGTATATTAGAAAGGGTCATATTTGCCAAGTGAGGCCATTTTTTTCTATTTTCTGTCTGCTTATGTGTGAGAATAAAGAGCCAATTGCATGTAAGGATATCCCCCTCCACAACAAGCTGTCTTTCCATGTGTGCACTGTTGCCCATTTCTGTTTCCTCAGAGGGCAGAGCCTTCCCTCTGAAAACAGTGTCTTTACAAGTGCTTAAGACAGGCTCTTCCCATCAGCCCCAGGAATGCTGGGAGTTTCTTTCCCCATTGAACAGGCTCGTTCTTTTTTCCACCATTGTCTTTGCTTATTCCTCGTGCACCAGTCCGAGGTCTTCCTCTTCTTTAGTTGGTCTTTGCACAGATATACATCAACCAGCAATCAAAATTGCGAGGGTACAGGATGTGATGTAAACAACACAGTCAAAAGGCAGTTACTGTTTGAAATACATCAATGCTTAACTGCAAAGCATACCTTTTTTTGCCACCTTTTAGAATCTCCTGTTCCTGGGCAGTACAAGGAATCTTTTCTAGAGTCCTGGTGGAAGGATGAGACTTTTCTGTTGAATCTGAGGGTCATTTTTTTTTCCTCTGACATTTTCTAGACAAAGTTACTTCAATTTGAATAGGAAGCCCTCTTCTCTTGACAGTATAATGTGTCCATTAAATATTGATCTGCTTATAATACATCATAAACCGTGCTGGAACATGCAGCACCAGGGAAGAGACCACTCTTGCTGATGCAGTTCATATCTCACTAGATATTTTGACATGTGACAAAATCAACCAGCATATTTTTGCAATGGAAAGGCAAGAAATCCAAATCACAGTGATACACTAGAGAAAAATATTGCTATTCTGTAAAGTCACTGGTGGCCCAAAATGATTTCACTCTGGCATTATAGGGCAATATTTTGGTGTAAGTCAGCAAAGCCCAATCTTCCTTATATAAGTGGCTTAAAATAAACTGTGGACACCTTTCTTAAATTTTATCGCTACTTTAACTTCATGAGACCCAAAGGCTTGGTTCACCAAGAAGAGCTCCAACCCTTGCTCAGTGGCAGATATTTCAGCACTCCTGTCACTGAAGAAATCAGCGAATTGAGTGAAAGCCAAAAAAAAAATAACAAAAAAAATCCACCTCTACCTGGATTTGTACGGAACAAAATCTAATGACAAAGGAGTTAAACAGAGTAATAATAAAGGAAATAATGTGTGAGCTCTGTAAGAAAAAGGCTTCAAAGGAAATCCAAACCACAGACTTGTATTCATTCTTGTTCTTTCTTTCTCTTTTTTTCTTAAACAATTTCATTATAAGTCCAAATCTGAGTCGCAGCTCCATATTGCTAACCAGTTTAATTACTAGTGCTAGCAGGCTGCAGTCTCAGGCTTGATTTCACTGAACTGTTCAGAATCAATACTGAGCCTTGACAGAGGCTCCAGCTTCCATTTGCTGGTGCTATTTACTGAGAATGTGAAGCTCCTAATTTACACACACGCACAGATACATACACACAAAGAGCATTCAATCCTGTAGAAAACTTAAGGGTAGTGCCCTTATTTTAGGAGACAGTCAGGCAAGCCACAACTCCCACAAAGTTATTCCCAGTCTGTAATGTCTTCCATCTGCTAGAAACCAATGTGACACATATCACTTGTGAGATATTTATTTTGGGCAAGGCCCATAAAGTGTAAATTCCACCCAAACTGAGTTTAGGCAGATCAACTAAGCACCAGATAGCAATCAGATGCTCCGGTCTTAGCAAACCCATTATATGAATCTTCACCATATATCCCTGTGGTGAAATTCCTACCCCTCCAAATACCTCGATGCAATCATTACTTTGAATTTCAACTTCCCAGAGAATACCATCATAGCTCAGTCACAGCCAGAAAGCCCTTTCAGCCTTGCCTGAATCCATGGGTGGATGTCTGGAGCCGTGAGGGCCTGTGGACATCTGCATCAGTCACCCAGGGCCAGACAGACACAGTTGCTGCTGAAGCATGCAAGGTGTCAGAAAACGGGGATTAGTGCATTTTTCTGCCGAAGGAAGTGCAGAATGTCTGTGCTGGGAGAGGTGGGAAAGGAATGAGCTTCCCTACATCAATCTGAGTAAAGCTCAACAGTGCTCAACAGCATACATGATCACAGGATTCCACAGGTGTGAAAGACACAGTGAGATTAGATCCAGATTAACAATCCAGCAGGACCCATAGTGTCTGCGTTGCTGCTTTCTGGATACTCTCCTTATTGTTTTCTCATATAATTTATTTTTATTTTCTAATTCAGCAGTAGTCTATTTTAGTATCTCAGAAAGCAAAGACTTCCCATTACACCAGAAGTCCTGCAAGTGGAGTCTTACACCTTCTCCAATGATACCTTAGGCCCTGACTCTACAGTCTCCTCTGTTCTTGCAGGACAGCTGACAAGATAGTCAGAGCAGCCCTTCCAGCTTTATAATCTTGAAATAAGGAAAGAAAAAGAAAGAGAAAAACAAAAACAAAAACAAAAACACACACACTCACCAAAAAAAAAGCCCACAAAGCCCAACACCCGTGCACATGTATCTCCCTGCTCAGCCTGGTTATATATCTCTTTGCGTGTCAAAATCCCTTCTAACTCCAGAACTGCTCCTGTCACAAGGACACCATTGTTTTGAGGAGTGCTGTGACTCATATTCTCAGCTCATGAGATCCTGGGCACAATCCTGGTGACAAAGGGCAGAGAGATAATTGTGTACACATTTCATGTTGTGTACAAAAGCCATCCGATTGAGCACACAAAGGGAACAAAATGTTTCTTTGACATTATACATATGTGAAAACTGAGTTTTCATTTGTCCTTCTGTCTCAAAACCCAAGTAGGAAGCAGTAGGAAAAAGCAATGGAGGACTGTCATTAGCATATAAGGCATTAAACAAGACAAAGGCCTCCTGCTCCCCTCATTCCCACCTTTATCCAGCTCCACTCATCCATTAGGTTCCTCAGCACAGAGGTGAATTTCACCTGAAGAGAGTGAAGCCCTCAACATGACAGCAACACTGTAGCCAAAAATTCTCCTCTAAATGCAGTGGGTAACTGATTTTGGAATGCCTTTGTATATTTGCTAATAAGCATCTTATTTTTAGAGGCATAAAGTACAAAAGAATCTGTGCAAATAATTAAACATCCTAATTCTGGATTATCTCTGATTAATGAAGAGGGAGGCACAGAATCTCAGGAGCCTGGGAATGCTGGGCTGCGATTATGTCATAATTGATCTCCATTGTTTCTAGCTGAAGTTTATCTATCTCATTTTCCTGTGATTGTCTCCTCTCAGCTCCTTGTAAATTAGATCCTACTATTAGCAACAATCATTATGCTTCTCCTGAAATACAGTCTGAGCACAGGGGTATGAGGGAATGCAAAGTGAAGGCATCCTAACCAGTAGCTGATAGCTACTGTATGTGTAGCATACGTATCTGTTCTTTTTAGAAGGGGACTATCATTGCTTTCTTTGATTCCACTTCTGCCAGCTCATAGTGATGATTATAGACACCTTCGGGGCTCATTCTTCTACTTTTGTAAGTGAGGTATTGTAGTGCTGCAGTTCCCACCATGCACTGCATGGATCCGTGATGGTTTGTTGACCTTCTAAAGATTCTACAAAGGAAATGAAGGACAGCTGTCCTGTTGTCAGGGCTGGCATCCCTCATGAGTGTTCTGCACTCCTTCAGGGAAACAACTAGGGCTTTGCAAATTGATTAAAAGCTCAAGAGTCTTTAATAGTAATGAAAGGGGATGGAAGCCAGAACTTCTCAGATCTCTTCCAATCTGTTCCAAAATCCTCCTTAGCATATGGAAATTACTATTCCTCCCTCTTGAGTCAATTTGCTTGTAGCTAAGAGTGTTAGCAATACTTTCCCCCACTCTTGTGATGCATGTGACCCTTTGAAGTGTTGATCATTTCTGCACTCTAGCATATATTCATAAAGGCACCTTTCTGCCCTGGAATCTTTTGTAAGAGTTCAGACAGTGTGAGATTCTTCACATGGCAGTGTAGGCTAGAGGAGAACTGCCCACATTTCTCTGATGTGTACAGGAAAGCCGTGGTAAAGTAGCTTATGATATAATATTCACTGTATAATTCAGGTTTCAGTGGTAGAAAGATGGCAGTCATCACATGCATATCTATTCCATTTTCATTTGTTTATCAGAAGATATGTCATGCTTTGTCAGACCAAAGCTGCTCGGAGCCAGGACAAGATCTGAGCAGCCTCTGTAGTGGACTTCTACCAAGCAGTGATATAAGACAGATACCTTGTGTATTTGAAACAAGCTGAATGCCTTCCCTACAGCTGTCCTGTGGTGACTTGTAACAGGAATGGGAAGCTTTCTGCTTTTGTTCATTTCCTTACTCTTTTCCAGAACACTGGAGAGAGGAGTGTTCCGCAGTATGTTTAATACAAATAAAAGGAAAGTCATTTTCACACAGTAAATTATAAAACTGTGCAGTGCTAACATGGGAAGCTATAAAGGTCAAAAGATAAGTCGTTTCAGAAGGTTCTCTCTAAGTTTGTGTCCACCCAAATTATATGCAAGCAGCATGGAACTATCTAGCTTTGCCTCAAGAAGTCCTTGAACTGCCTATGGCTGGACTTTGGAAAGGAATAACCAGTTTGCTTGTTATGCTTTCTGCACTACCTTCTCTATCACCAGTTCTGAGGACAAGATAAAATATTTAAATGTTCTGTCATTGGTAGCCACGGAACCTTTCTTATGTTCTTCTTTTTCTTTTTCTAGGGTGTGCATTTGTGAAATATTCTTCGCATGCAGAGGCCCAAGCAGCTATCAATGCCTTGCATGGCAGCCAGACAATGCCGGTGAGTAGCTCTGTAACATGAAAAGCAAGAATTGGCCCGTGGCCTGATATGGTAGGAGGAATGATTTATGTATGATCTGCTACTCACACTATAGGAAGATGGCATGTGGAGCTTTGGGTGTGTTTAACTCATTAAAGGAAATGCCAGGATGATGCTGTCATTTCATGAAAGCACAGAACCCCAAGGAGTGATATGTTCTGTCACCAGCAGTTTTGATGCACTGGAAAAAAAGACGTGGTTCAGAGGTGCCAAATATGCACCACAATTGAATCAAAATCACCATGAGCCACTTACCTAAGTTGCAGAGAGATGAATAAAGCACAAATTTGTACCTAAGGGCTTCTTTGTATTCCTTCCACAAAGAGTCCCTGCCTCTATGTGAAGGAAGAAAAACTTTTTGCCAGAATTGAGCAGAAAACAGCATGTTCACGTAATGGCAGTAGATGCCAGAGACACAACACAGAGAAGTACACTTCTATGCTACTGCATAAGAGTCTACCTCAGCATAAATGTGGTCTTCCCTACATCCAGCATTTGAAAGACAGTCTGTCAAACTACTGATGCTCCCAGGAAATGTTTGAGGGATCACTCTGCTTGGGCTAATGTTTTGTAAAATGAGGTTTCCAAACTGATAGCTCAGGAAGTGGAAATTAAAATGCAAATGTATTTTCTGTGCAGAATGATTCGTGTAAACCGTGATGCAGACCTGAAGGAATGTAAGTCATTCCATTATCAGTACAGAAAGACAATCTAATCCAGTATGTTTGGGTTTATTTTAATGGCTTATTATTTTTGTTACTAATTATTCATGGTGTAAATTATGGAGGTCTAAGAAGCACGCTGACAACTTGTAAAGGATACAGGGATTCTCGTTCTTAAATATTTAATATAGCAAAGTCTTTGTTTTAGTAAGGACCTCTAATCTCAATTCATGAGTTTATCCTAATAATATTAAAATAGACCTGGCAGATGGGCAGCTTGTCTCTAAGTCTGTGTAGAGATGGAAATGGAAAGTTCTTCACATGGAAAGAGATTTCTGATAAGAAGAAGCAAATCATTAAATCTTATTTTTTAGAACCCACGCTTAGATAAATCGGATTAGAGAATGGTACACATTTGCTAATGAAGGTATTAGAAGGTGGGGTATCCACTTTTTGAATTCTTATAATCAAGACTTGGAGACTTTCTAGAATATAACAACATGAGGGGCTTAGTGCTGAAAACCACATTGTGAAATATGATCATCTTCCCTGGAATAGGTCAATGAAGTATTCTAATGTCTTAAAAACTATCATCCAAAGTGATAGTGTCTGTAGATGACATCAGTAATGGCAATTCCAGAGTCTTTAGTCTTTATCACTAGACAGTGTAATAAAATGTCAGTTCCAGTCCCCTTAGAAATTTGGGTGATACTGATGAGAGCAAAACAGAGAAGAAAGCAGAAGAAAGCAGAGTTGAAGATTTTATCTAGATCTACTATATCCAAAATATTCTTATCCTTCCTATTGTCAGCACTGTTCAGATAAGAAGAAATACCCATCTCAACCACCTTGGAACAAATTTTTGTTCCATGCTGCTGAAGTCAACTGAGGATGTGCAAAAAAAAAATAGTGCAGAATATGGCCTTTTCGTCAGTTTTTCATGGGACCATTATTCTTGTTGACTTATTTAATCAAATACTTGCTTTAGAATAACCTAACACGTGGTTCTTGAATAATCAGATCTAGGTCTCTAAAAAGCACTGCACTTTAACTCTCACTAAACACATTCCACACTCATAAATTTGAATGACTTGACAAGTTTCCATGAATCAGCTGAACCTCAGCAATACTCCATGCACATGCTATTAGTTCACAGAAAATGCAAGGAGAAAATTATGTTTTGACCTCTTTGTTTTGAGCTAAATTATGTGACACTTCCTCACATTTCCCATGAGCTATTAGCAGGTACACAGACAGCTACCATGGCTCAACAAACTAGTGAGGACCTGTCAAGTGACTTGACACTTCATCATGACATTGAGCACACAGCGCTATTCACAGAGGGCCTCAGAACAATTTGGACACTTGGAAAGATATGGGCCAAATTCTGCAAGTGTTCACCGCTCTCATTCTCATTTTCAGGGTGCTTCAGGGTTTGCATGCAGCTTCATTCAGGGCTTGGGTGTTCACAGAGAAATGCAGCCACCTCGTGGTGAGATGGCGATGTAGGCCTCGTCCTTGGAAAGGAGGGGCGCGTCTGCCATCTTCCTCCAGCTCCCCCTCCCATTTCTCTCGCCATTAGGACTGGCCTCATTTGTCTGACTGTGATGCCAACTCAAAGTTGTTCCTGTGGTTCAGCCAATTTAAACGTCTCCTGCCTTGTCCTCGTGTACTACCAACGGGGCATCCATCATCATTCTTGTCAGGTCTCGAGCCGTTCATTCCTGCGGCAGACTCCTGTTTCTCCACAGCTGTCAGGATTATTGCTCTACTGTGACTTCCTGTTCACACAACATATGTTCCCTAATAGTTTCAAAAGGCAACTTTCTTTTATGAAAGTTTTTTTCTTTTTTTTCCTTTTTATTAACCTTTCCTTGGACAGGTGCCTGACTGTCATCCGTCACAAGCCCACTTCTCCATGCAAGGTTCTGTTTTCTCCTAAGGGCCTAACATGCAGGTATACAACTTCCAAATTTGAGCACAAAGCAATTGCTTTGAGAAATAACTTTCCCAAAATCCCTTACTTCTGAGCAGGCCCAAAGTTCCCTCTGTATCTACCTGCCAAGAGTGCTTTATTTTTGGGTCTTTTTAAATTATATTGTCTATCAACTCATCAGCTTTAGAATAGTGTTACACTTGTCCTTCATGTCCTCCCTAGTGAGAGATCATCATTTTCATGTACTTCTGCATGTATTTTTAACTATAATTTGCCCTTGACCTTCAGCTATGGTTACTCTGTCCTTTCGCACGTCTCTTCCTCACCCATAAGGGGCATAAACAGGTCTCTTCCCTTGATTCTCTTCACTTCTTCATCCAGCTCTTGTCCTCAGCATCCTTGTTCACCAACATGAATTCAGCGACCATTTCTGAAGTGACAGTTTGCAGATCTAACTTCTCTACTAAAGAACTGACTCCTGTCCAAACTGAAACCTTGGCCTGTCTTTCCAGCCTCTCCTAATGGATGGATGCCTAGCTGTCAAATCAAGCTCACAATGTATAAAACAGAGCTCTTAAACTTTTCCTCCCAAACTCCTCCTCCTCTCTCCTTCACCTCCATTTTCAATCACTATGGACAACATTATCATCCTGCCTGTCAGTCATGCTCCTACCTAGGCATCATCTTCAGCTCAGTTTTCTCGTTCTCTCCTTGTCTTCATATCCAGGCAACAGCCAAACGTTGAAGAGTCATTCTGCACAAAACATCAAAGATGTGGCCTTGTTCCTCCACCCACGCAGAATAAACCCTTCTCCATCCACTATCACTAATACCAAAATTTCAAAATTTCAATAGTGTTTATGCTAGTATGCAGGGCTAAATATCATACTACTTTTGCATATCTTTGATGATTTCATACCATGGTACCTCAGAAATTCTTGTTTCTGGAAGGGTAAAGCAGTACTGCTAGCTAAATTTTTTTTGTGTGTGTGTGTGTGTGTGTGTGTGTGTGTGTGTGTTAAGACAAATATGGCAAGTAGGAATTAAGATTGTGTTTCACTTGATTTAGCTTTAACAGTCTAAAAAATTTTAATCTACTGCAAATGTCTTCCTAAAAAGGAGACACATTTCTAGAGCTTCATGCTTTCTTGCCCTTACCTATTTGTGCTAGAATGGGATAAACTATCTTTTCAGCATGCCCTTCCCTTTCATTAATTAGAATAGAAATCCCTTTAAATAATTAAAATGAATATCTCCATAGTGGTATTAGATTGAATACCTCAGGTGGGACTTGTCTCACCTAAGTTTAAACATCTAAAAGTTTAGGAAGTATGAGCTTGTCATCTAAGTGCTTGTCATCTAAGTTTCTATTATGATTGTAGAAATAGATACCTCTGGAAGTATTATATTTTAGAGAAATAGATTTTGAAACCTGTTGAACCAAAACGCACATAGAAGTGTGCTTTTCAGTTAATTCTAGGCGTCAGATTCCCATGTTCTCTCAGATCCAGTGGTTAGTAACCTGAAGTGCATTGGAGAATGGAAAAGGACCCTCACTGCTTTAATACAAAAGCAAAAACACTTGCTTCATGCAGATATTTGGAAGGCTGCAGTTGCCTTTTCTCTCTGTGTGATGCACCCTTGCCGTCTGAAGTCCTTCTGGTCCACTGCCACTTCCACAGTAATCTTGCCAGAGCTAAAAGCTTTGGTAACTCTATCCCAGATTAGACATCTACAAGTCAATACAAGTCAGACACTGATGCTGTTCACGTCCTTCATGTCTAATGCAAAGGAAACTGAACCCTATTCTAGGTGTTCTCTGACCAGTTAAAGGGAGATCTGACAGTGCCCTTTCAGTGTCTAAAGGAGGGCTGTTATGAAGAAAGAGACAGACTCTTTAGCAGGACAAGGGGAAATGGTTTCAAACTGTAAGAGGGGGGATTTAGACTGTATATTAGGCAGAAGTTTGGTACAGTAAGAGCAGTTAGGCACATGAACACATTGCTTGCAGAGGTGGTGGATGCCCCATCCCTGGAGTCATTTGGAGTCAGGCTGGACTGGACTCTGAGCACCTGATCAAGCTGTAGGTGTCCTTGTTCACTGCAAGGGAGTTCGACTAGATGACCTTCAAGGGTCCATTCCAACTCAAACGAGTCTATGATTCTATGATTCTAAAACAATATGAGACTCAGAAACCAGGCATCCCCTCCTCTGATTCCTCTGATACCTAATTCTTCAGGTGCCTTCTGAGCTTGCCTAATGTTCCAACTCTCAGTACTATATTCATTCTGTATCTCTCTTATTCATGAATTTTGAGACTGTTAAGGTCTCCAAAACACTGTGAGGTGGTTTCCACCATTACA